AAATAAAAAAAACTAAAAAAACCCTAATTTTCTTTGTTTTCCTAACATTTATCAAAATAAAAGAGATTTAGCAAGGCAGTGATGTGACTTTTGTGTTCTGTTGTATATCTAAGTGTCAAGTCAGCAGATATAAGCTTTCTTTCTCTCTCTGTTTTAATTTCTTATTTTACCACACTGGGCATTAAGATTAATTTATTTTTAGTAACTTACTTTTGAAAAATGGGAAAGGCGTTCACTTCTTGATTTACACTTGCCCTTACTTTGTCACACTTCTGAAGAAGAGTAAGGAATATATTTTAGGTGGAGATAATAGTAATGTGCAGAGTAGGAGGGACTGAAACAATACATGAACTATATGTATTTGGATTATTTGATTATCTGGGCCATTTAAAAAGAAATATGTTGGTAAAGTGGGGGTGAACTGGAGATGGCTTTTTTTGAAGGCCAGGTTGAGGGATTTGGATTTTGTTTAAGTGGATCTACTATTGGTTCTTGAGTAAAGGAGTTACAGATGATTTTAGAGATTTGAGAAAGCCATTCCTATTAGCTAGGTACAGAAGAGGGAACTAGGAGTTAGGGGGCTATTACTTGCATGTGGGTTGATAAGGGTCTGGATTAGGCTACAGTAATCTCAAACTTTAACATGCATAAGAATCTCCTTGTTAAAAATACACATTTCCTTGGCCTCACCTGAGAGATTCTGATTCAGTAGATCTGGTGTAGGGCCTGGGACTTGGTCTTTTTTAATGAGTGAAACTTGGGTGAGGAATGATGTATATATAGAGAAACCATGAAGAAAGATGTATGAAAGACATCAGATACTTATTGGGAGAGGAGAGAAAAGAGTCAGAAGAGACTTACATTTATAGAGTCCTAGACACTAGGTGGGCAGAAGGACCAGGCAAAGGGGCCCCTGGAAAGGTGTCATCAGAAGCAGAAATAATAGGTGACTTTGTCATGTGCTCAGGTATCTGTAGACAGTCATGGGGAGATGTCCTTAAGACAACTGAGAATAGGAGACTAGAGAAAGGGTGGCGAGTCAGGGCTGGTAAATGTTGATCCTACTACGTAGCAGTAGGCAGTAGCTGTATTCACTGCAGGAGTGTAAAGACTAGAGGGATTAGGACTGAGGGAAAGGTGGCTGGGAATGGAGACAGGGAGAGTTAAAAAAACCCCCAAACATTACATGTCTATTTTTCATAGGTCAAATGAAAGAAGAGGGTGGCTGCCATAGCTGGTTCGGAGGCTGGTGACTAGGAACCCTCTACTGGTATGCTTCTCTATGGCAGAAAAGGAGACGAGAACTAATTAACGTGGAGGAGCTTACAAGGGATTACCTGAATCTGCCTTCTTTCAGCCCTCCTCCTTGCTCTATACTTGCAAGTGGGATTTGGCCTGATTTGAAAGATGGGTACTTCCCACGCACTTTAGTGTGTATGTCAATCATCTGGGGATCTCATTAAAAATGCAGATTTTGATTCAGTAGTTCCGGGGTGGGGCCTAAGATTCTGCATTTCTAATACAGTCTCAAGTGATCTCATTGCTGCTAGTCCTCAGTTCACACTCTGAGAAAACAGGATGGAAAATCTCTGTTGGTGAATGTTCTATATTCAGAGGCAGAAAATAGCAGGAGGACAGATCAGAGTAAAGCAAGAAAGTGATTTGTCATTTATACAGATTATATAAGACCTAAGATAGTTTGGTTGTGGTTCTCAGTGGAGGGCAACTTTGCCCACTAGGGGACAGTTGGCAATGTCTGAAAACATTTTTGGTTGTCACAGCTTGGGGTGGGGGTCACTACTGGCCAGTGGAGATACAGGCCAGGAATGTTGCTAAATATCCTACAATGCACAGGACAGTCCCATAACAAAGAATTACTTATCTAGCCCAAAATGTCAACAGTGTCAAGGTTGAGAAATTCTAGTTTAGACGAAGGAAACTTTTGTAGTAGAGAGAGCACAGAGTTTGAAACCTAGGATCTAATACAAGCCCTGACATTTACCAGCTGTGTGACTTTAAGAAAGTCACTTAACTTTGCTGAGTTCATTTCCATAACTATGAAAAAGTGCTGGCAGTTGTAGGGCTTATGACTCAGGAGGCTTCTGTAAATAGCATTCTCCTTTCCTTCATCTGTACTTTAAGGTTCTTGGGCCGAGAAAGAATAAAAACCAACACAGACATGGAAGACAGTAGAAGGGCTAAGCAGACTGGGCCTCTAGGCCAAGCGTAAGATGTTCAGGGCAAAGAACAAAAAGATCTACAAGCTGGTACTAACCACCAGGTTGCCAATAACCATGACCATCATGAAGACAATGAGGCACATGGCCTGGCCTGCCACCTCCATGCAGTCCCACATGGTCTCGATCCATTCTCCGCACAACACTCGAAAGACAATAAGGAAGGAATGAAAGAAGTCGTGCATGTGCCAGCGAGGGAGTTCACAGTCCACGTTGATCTTGCACACACACTCTTTGTAGCTCTTTCCAAAGAGCTGCATCCCCACCACGGCGAAGATGAAGACAATAATGGCCAGCACCAGGGTCAGGTTGCCCAGGGCACCCACGGAATTGCCAATGATCTTGATCAGCATGTTCAGGGTGGGCCAGGATTTGGCCAGTTTGAAGACTCGGAGCTAAAGGGGAAAACAAACAAACAAACAAAAACCAAATGATACTCTAGCCATTTTCTTAGCACATGGCTATAATAAAAACATATATCATTAGTAAGGTCAGCTTAAATATATTGAGTACCCAGGACTTTCTAACAGTCTTAGACTAAAATGGGAGAAACTGAGGCACAAATAAAGAAAAACTGATTAATTTCATAGTAAGTGAAAGATTTAGAACCATGAATACTGCCTCCAGTCCCCTGTATTAGTCCCTGGGTTGATCTACTTAAAAAAAAAATCCATACATGAACATATCCTTTTCCCATTGATTTTACCTTGATTTCTCAAGGGGCATATCAAGAAAAATGTGATTTATAGTGAAACAAAGATCAGTATGGAAGATCAGTATGGTAAGGACAGTGACAATAAATCATCTGTCTCCCTAAAAAAAAACACTTAAAAATGCTAAATCTCTTTTTGCTTGCCAATAAATAATCAATGGCTAATATGAAATTTTGTGATATGCTTGGAATAACTTGAAGGGGAAGTTGGTCTTCCCCTTCCTAAGTCCTAACTTAGGAGTTCCTAGACCAACTCCTAAGAAGGGGTGGTTCCACATATATCAAACATCTTATGAAAAGGGACTATACTTATATTAATTCAGAGGACAGAACTTTTAGTATCAGTTGATCATTAAATTTCTATATTCTATATCCATTCATATGAATGATTATAAGGTCTTGGCTAAAAGCCTGAAGATGGTAATGCATAAAGCCCACGAATAGAATGATAATAATGAGATTATCATCAGATGTCATAAGTTAACAAACTAACAGATAATATAATAGGAATTCTGGTGGAAACAACAGCACTGATTTGAACATTTTTTTCTTATTCAAAACTTGAGTCTTAGCTGAGAGTTCAAGATTTACCAGGTGTTGTTCTGTGTGTATATCTGGGTCACATATTTTTTCCCTTTCTGATTGGCTTTTAATTTATTAAGAATATTAGTGCTAAGGCTTCTATCTCTTAATCCTTCCTCTCATTTCCTAGATAATAAGAAATGTTCTTAAAGTCTACTGTGGGCTGGATCATAACCAAAGACTAGTAAGCAGAGGTTCTAGAAACTTGGCAGATGTTGAATTTGTGACTTGGACTGAACAAGATCACTATTTTACAAATACCGTGTTTTCCCCAAAATAAGACATAACTGGAAAATAAGCCCTAGCATGATTTTTCAGGATGCTCGTAATACAAGCCCTACCCCAAACATAAGCCCCAGTTAAGATCATCAGCCAGATACGGCTGTTTGAATAAATGTAGATTTTTGTACATGAATAAATAAATAAAGGTAGATTGTTGGAGCAAAAATTAATATAAGACCCGGTCTTATTTTCAAGGAAACACGGCAGTTTTACTCTATTCCAATTCTCTTTCTTAGATATGATGAATATCCCGATGACAAAACCTTCCGTTCTTTCAGTTGAAAGTGCTTAGGTATTTTCCCAATCGGGAGAGGGAAACACCAAGCCAGGTCTGATGCACTCTCTGAGTGGGATATCCCCAAGGTCACTCAGCTTCTCAAGGGACTTAGTCAGCACATCACTTATGCCTATTTACATGGCAAGCTATGTTAAGGACATCGTTAACTATTCTTTCAGAGTTATTTTAGTAATTTACACATTAACGTCTTCAAATACATTAATTAAAAAACCCTTCCTAAGTAATGATGTGTAAAACAAAGCCAATGTTCAACAACTAATTTCAATATAATTAAAAAAAAAAAGATGATCCTATTCTTATTTTCTGGAAAGAGTCACCAAAATAGAAGAAATGAGGAAAGCCATCTTTGAACAAGGAGGAACTCTTTGCCATTTCAGGGAGATGTTCAGATAAAGAAATAGGTTCACTAGAAAATTTAAACCAGTCCTCAGAATAGTCCTTAGGAGTCCTTCTTCATCTCTTAGGTTTATCATTATTTTCTGAGGAACTTCCTAACTGACGTCTGTTGGTCAATTGATTTTAAAAACTAACTTTTATATTAGCAGGCAAGTTTTCAAGACTTTAGGCCAATAATTCGCCTGAAATTGGAAGTAGACTATAGCTAAGGATTTTTAAAAATCATCAAATTAACTTATGCAAAACTCTAGTAACTGCAAGACAGGAAATGTAAAACAAAATTGGAGAAATATTGAATACCAATCGGAAAGATCGCAGCACCGAAAGCCCCTCCACATCTGCTAGACTCAGTTCCATTAAACTGAGGGAGACAATAAATCCGTCAAAAATGTTCCAACCTTCTTGGAAATAATAGTAGGGATCCATGGCTATGAGCTTCAGGAACATTTCTGCTGTGAAAATTCCAGTGAAAACCTAAAGAGGGGGAACGCAGGGGTTAAGAAAAAGAAATGAGAAGAAGAATGCCTTTATCATTATCTTTGAATACAACATGTCCAAGGAGCCTCAAGAGCCAGCCTTGGTTAAATTATGCATCTGAGGACATCACTACATGTCCCATGACTACGCCACAAGATGCAAGAAAGTCTTATTTTCCTCTTGAATGATACTTAGCCCCAATGTTCCCATCTTTGTTGCCAGAGCCACCCAAATCACATTGTTCAAGAGTGCAGTGAAAAAATTATTCTAAGCTATGGGAATACCACACAGGTGACTCCTAAAGGGTCAGCAGTCATTTAAATGTGTATGCTTGGGGTGTTTCCCTATAAGAACCCTAAACACTTGTGTTATAATTATATTAGAAAAATACAGCATTATTCCTGATTTGATATTATGTATCTTATCAAACTTAAAACATACTCTGCAGGGTTTCTTATTTTAAATTGTTAAAGCAGTAGAACATTACTAAAAGCGTGAAAAATACAGGAAAAACACATCCATAGTCTCACCACCTTGCATATAACTATCATTTTT